TGATATTGCCGAGATGGATTTAGGAAATCTTGCCCGATTTCATAAATGACGAAATGAGAGACTTGATAAGGTGCACTCATAGAAAGCTGGGTAAAGTAGGCACGATAGAGAACAAGAAATCCTTCATTGCGCAAAACACGGCCTAGACAGTCTATCGAATTGTGATAAGGACTATTATACATCTGTAGACGTTGTTTTACGGCTAAATATAGGATTAAAAATTAAATTGAGAAATTTTAACAGGACGCTACTTACTTAATGGTCGAAATCTAAGAAATAAATGCGGAAGCAAAAACGATAATCAAAATAATAATTATGAGAATAGTATCAATAACTTCTACCTACCGTCGGCAGGTGTCATTATGGCATCATGTAATAAAGTCGCACATGCTCCACTGATGGCATGTGCAAGATGGGCTGAGCCGAACTGTAACTCGTAAATAACTTTTTTCATTCGTTCATAGCACCCAAAATAGAGGGCATGAGCAGGGCCTGCCCCACCAATGACTGCTCCGACACCACGAAGCGAGCCAACAACACCTTGGGAACGTATGAGATGAGAAATACCGCAAAAAACATTTGTATATCTTGGCCCTGCTAATGGTAGGATGCACTGCATCCTAGTCTATCATAGTAATAAATAGATTAATTAAAAACCTTAACACTGTCAACAGGATACATAACAGAATGTTCCATTATACCAGCACAGGCACCAGCCAACATGTGATGTTTAAGGGAGCTTGAACTAGGTAGAGACTCATAGTCATCTGTGTCGTCAACCTAAAACAAGAGTAAACGGCATATTTGTGAAAACCAAGTCAAATGAAGGAGACCCAAACAATGCTTTAGAATAAATCCAAGTCATAGGAAACCATACCATCAGGCAATTTAAGGACAGTATAATGCATGCGCCACAGGGAGGTCCGACCCGCGACGCCTAAAGCATAACTAAAAACAAAATAATTGATATTCATAAACTCTCAGTTTAATTGCAATGTTTACTGCATATATTACCAATAAACTAAAAAATATGATAATATGCTTTAGAAACCATTAAAATTCTGATACTTTACATTCTGCCTTCCGTTGAACGTCCATATAAAGATAAATATGACTCATCATCGAAATCTAGCTATTAAAAGATAGTTTGTTATGTGGTCGATGTTATATTGGTGAGGAATGCCAACCTATTCAAAAAAGATTGGGGGAAAACAAAATGGTTGTAGGGGAAGCGGGCTTCAACGGTTAGAAGTAGCCGAATACGATAGAAACTGGACATGAGATAAAATGGTATCAAATTAGTAGGTTTGCTAATTATAGTACGTCTGCTGTTAAAAGAAAGATAAAATAGGCTAGTAAAATTAATAGATTTGGAAATACATTGAATGTGAAGAACGGTGGTGGAAAGTTATGTAGGAACTAGTTAAGCTTG